AAACTACTGTATTGATGGTGAGGTAAAATGCAAATCCAAGAAGATAATTGTATATGCATAGGAGTGAAATTTCACCTTAATGTAACTTGTTTCTTACATATGTGTGTACTCAAATGCATGGTTTCCTCAACTGAAAGGGGCTTTGATTACATTTGCTTTTCTTGTTATAAAAAACTAAAAACATAAAGTTCAGTAAAGTTCCCATAGTCAAAATAAACGTACTGGAGCAAATTGCTTTACAAGACATCATCCTTGCTTTGAGACACTCATTTAAAGTTGCCTATTTAATTTCTCTTGCAAGGCACACCATTAATTATTTCAAAAGATATACACCATTACAATGTGATATGATATTGATTTAAATAATGACATTTTATCAACATAAACAATTACAATAATATGATATTGATGTTCCATTTTTTGATTTGGTGAGGTTTGTCCTTTGTTATACATCAGGCATCTAGTCCACTGCAAGTGAAATATGCTGATGGCGAGTTGGAACGGCTAGGTATGCCATGCTTTTTGATTAATTTATTGCAGATTGTTATTCAATTATCTAATACTATTTTCTCTGGCTAGTTTTTTTATTTATATTTATTTACCTTTTGCTCAAGAACACAAGCTTTTCATCGGTATGCTTCCTAAGAATGTCTCCGAAGGTGAAGTTTCAGAATTATTTTCACAATATGGAACCCTGAAAGACTTGCAAATTCTTAGAGGTTCTCAACAAACAAGCAAAGGTACATATGATTATGATATTTTCTGGCCTTTGATTCTGTAACACACTTTTGGGGTTTGGTTTTATGTTTTAGAATCACAATTATGAATTATGGCAGGCTGTGCTTTTGTGAAGTATGAGACAAAAGAACAAGCTGTTGCTGCTATAGAGGGCCTTAATGGAAAACACAAGATGGAGGTTTGTATTTGGGTGAATTGCAGGAAATAACCACGTAGTTTATGTAGCTGTAATTTTGTTTTTTAATTTTGTTGTTGTGTATTAGGGTTCAACTGTCCCTTTGGTTGTTAAATGGGCAGACACTGAAAAGGAAAGGCAAGCTAGAAAAGCTCAGAAAGCTCAGTCTTTAGCAAATATTGACCCAACACAGCATCCGTCTTTATTTGGAGCACTTCCAATGGGTTATATGTCACCATACAATGGTTATGGGTACCAGGTTTTATTTCATTTGTGCTTGTTTTGTTGCTATTTTTGGCATTTGGCATTGAGAGTATATGTGATTAAGAGTTGATTTTGTAAGTAGGCTACTGGAACTTATGGGCTCATGCAACCACCTTTCGCCAGTCTATCTCCAAATCAAGCAAATGTATTTCGTGGAGGCTCTCCAAGGAACTATGTGGGAGTGGGTCCCCCAACAGGTGGTGGTTACATGGGCTCTGCTTATCAAGCTATGCCTCCTAGGCTTCAGTATCCTGTGGCCTACCCCGGGGGATTGAGGCCTTTCAGTGGGCCTTCCAGTCCTCTACCACCAGAAGTTTCCAAGAATCATGCTGCAACTTCTTCAACTGTTGCTGCTGACCATGTTGAAGGTAGTTTTAGTTAAACATCTTTTATGTATATCAATCACCTCTCACTTAATTTTTCTTTTAACATTCCCCAAAACTCATTTTTACACCAAATTTGGGGTTAATTAGTTTATGTATTTTATCATCTGGTCCTTCAAGTTTGAATGTTATGTATTTCTAGTTTGTTAAATTATATAATGGTATTTTAACTATAATATTTGTTACTTATAACATTAAGTTGATATTAAGTTATGAAATTTAATTTTTATGTCTCAAACTTATTTGATAATTTAAAACACAATAACATAATTAAATAATACCCATAGTTGAAATATAAAGATGCTACGGAATGTGTGACTTGATCATTCATGGGAAAACTGTTATGCATAAATTCTATAATATTTTATAAATGCATGCATAATATTATTTTGATGTGTTGTATATGTAACTGTTTTATCTAATAAAATGTTTGCTTTAATTATATGATTATTAATTTCAAATTTATTATATACGAATAATCTATTGTGGTTATAATTGTCTAATAAAGTTTTTGTAATAAAAAAGATGCGAGTCAAATTTGTATAAAGCTAACAAATATAAGTTAGAATAATAAAGAATATTGTTTTTTGGTGTTAAAAAGAGGTGGGAGTTTGGAGATTATTGTATATTTAAGTAGTCTCTCTGTTCCAACTTCCAACTTGCAGGTCCACCTGGCGCTAATCTGTTTATTTATCACATCCCTCAAGAATTTGGGGATGAAGAGCTTGCAAATGCGTTTCAATCATTTGGAAGAGTTTTGAGTTCCAAAGTTTTTGTTGACAAGTCAACGGGTGTCAGCAAGTGCTTTGGTATGATATGAACAAACTTTAATCTAAATTCCATTGGGAAGGGTTGCAACTTTGCAATAATAATAATACTTTTTGTCTCTAATTATTTATTTATGACATGTCATGTGAGCAGGTTTTGTGAGTTATGATTCCCCAAATGCTGCACAATCTGCAATTAATACAATGAATGGATACCAGTTAGGTGGTAAGAAGTTGAAGGTTCAACTTAAAAGAGACAACAAACAAAACAAGATTTACTGATGTGGATATTCACTCTCTCCCACTTGACACTTGTAGTGAAACAAATCCCTGACACTATTGTAATACTTTTCTTAATCTGTGTGCCTTTGTAATCTGTAATTGTGTAACATATTATTAAATTCATTTAGTCATTGACTTTCAATATATTCATTCTTTTATCTATCTACAAACAACATTCTTTGCACTTTGCAGTGTAAGTAACCTTACTCCTCTAAAACCCATAACTGATTTCATCATCAGCTTCTCCAGAAATGAAGAATCTACTTTCTTCCGTTCTGCTTCTGCATGAAAACTCCAAACAGGTTGTAAACTTGTCAACTGCTTCAATATTCTTTTGCCAATTTTATTTACCTCTTTTACTTTTAGGTCTATTTCTTGATTAGGTTTACCAGCATATCTACTTTGATTGCTAAAAACTTTTGAAAACTCTCAACTCTTACTTCATGTATATATCCGTTAATTGTTATCTTAAAAAACATCTGATATGATTAAATTCAGCCATTTTGTGATCCATTAATTGTAGTCATAATGGTTTGCAATCTTATTTGTTTCCTCACAGATAGCTGATAACTCTTATCCCCTTTCCATGATTATTGCTTTTGATGTAAGCTGTTTTTCTTATTCCTCACAAATAACTGATAATTTTTTTACCTCTTCTGCCCTCTACTTGATATATATTTCAAAGATGGAAGTATGACTTTGGATGTTCAACCATGTAGTAGAAATATAATTTTAGGAATACTCGACTATTTTTTCCTTCTCTTTTTTTAGTGCTGTGTCTGTAAATGAATATTGCTGTTATTTTGTGTGTTAAGTGAACAGCAGATGATAGTAAATGACTGGAGTTATTGTATTATGAAAATTGACTATTTGATAAATGTTTTGAATGAAAATATTAAATGGCAATATATGTGAATTATGTAAATGAAAATTATTTAATATAGTATGTAGCATAATGATGATAAATTCAATCATATTTAATAGAGTGCTGATAAACCATTTAAGCTCTTTTTTACAGGTGAAGCACAATTTTAAGTGTTACATGATTCTGAGTGAATTCAAGGTGTATCTTCAGGTCCTTTCTCAAAGCATTCTATCACAAAGTCAATCATGATCCTGTTTTTGACTATTTCAACAATTGGCTGCTAATGCTTGCAAGGTATGTCTTTTTCACATGTGAAACAAATTTTAAGAGACACTAACTGTTATGCTCCCTTTTATATATGTTTGATTAACATCTGATAATCCTTTCTTCACAATCGTACATAATTATGGAAACTTGTTTATTATCTCTATATATATGTTTTGGTTTATTAAGATCATTTGAATGAGCATAATCTTCAATCTCGTAAAAATATTAGTAGGGTGGCAAAATGGGAAAGCTTTATATTGGTCAAAACGGGACAGGTTGACCCACCCACGCCTTTTTGTCCGTTACTTTTTGCTTTTTATAAATAACTAATGATTAAAAAAAAAACATACTATAAAGTGGTTAATGGCTTTGTTTTCTCTGTTATTGCTTTTCGTCCCCATGTTTCTCTCTCACTGTGGAATCAGAACCATCTTGGCAATTCTCATTGTATGTATTTTTTTTTAAAAGAAGTTTATGCCCATGCAAGTGGTTTTGGCAGCAAAGGAATGGAAACTGCAGCCTGTGTAGTGTATGTATTAATTTGCAAAGTTGCAACTCGTGAGTTGTCAAGAAGTGGTTATCTGATAAAACTGAACCATTTAATGCTCAATAATTACATCTTAATGATCAAGAGAAGGTAGGGTCCTTAACTGTTCAGAGCATAGGTTGTTCATAAGATGGATGTATCAAACGCATTGAATGTTGACCAATTCAAATGGTTCCATTGGAGGCTATCAAACAGTTTCTAACCATCACTTTTGAAATATGTTGGAAAGTTTGAACCGACTAGGGTATTGATAATCAAACTTGGATATTAAAATTGGATGATGCGGAACATTTCAACCATCTATTGTTGGTACTTATTTAGGTATTTGTGTAAACTGGATTTATCTAAAATGATTGATGACTTATCGAATTGTTTATAAGCAAACCAATAAATTTGTCAAAATGCAGAAAAAGAACCGTACGTTGTAGAATTAAAATTGAAAAATAAACTAATTAGACATGTTGTGCAATTGGTCTAAATGGCTCGGGCTGTTCTTTGTGCACGCCAACACTGGTTTGATAATTTCAATTTTTTAAAAATCTAAATATTATTTAAAAAAATGGTATTAGATTAATTATTTAATTTTATGAAACGAACCAATTTAGACAGTATCCCTGATGCAAAACTTATTAAAATAATAATCATATTTTATTTCATGGAACAAGACAAATTAGAAGGTTGTTCGTTACTCTCAAATCAATAAAAGCAATTACAACTACTTGATTATCCATCCCCCTTTATGGGTAACCAACCAAAATTAAAAAAAAAATTACAAATCTATAGCTGCTAAAAGACCTCCACAAAACATGTTCAGCCCCCAGCTGAACCACAAACACTACACTTCGACCAACAAGTCAAGTCTGAAACAAACATCACAATCCAAATCATACATACCACAACACAACTTCTACTAAATTAATTAATTTACACAAATAAGAATATTCATGCATACCCTAAAATCTCACTCCACTTCAACCTTATTCATAACCTCCGCCTCACTCACACCCGACACATATCCATCAGTCATACTCATCACAGACGAAGACGATTCCTCCTGGAATTCAAATCCACTAGTCGGACTAGTCCTCCTCCCTTTCACCAAATTCCCCAATTCATTCTTGAAACAGTCTTTTGCATTTTCATTCTCCATCAATCGTTTCAAGAAACTTTCTTCTATCTCACTCAGTGATTCCACATCATCTTCATCTTCTCCATCTTCTGATGATGGCTGCCTTCTCATTTCACAGCTGGTTTCCATCTCTTCTTGACTCTCGTCTGTTCGACTGTGGGATCGGCATGACATGGGCGAGTATTCTCCATCTGTGGTTGTGGTTGAGCTGCTGCTGTTTTCTTCACACTCTCGCTCTCGCTCTCGCAGTGTTTTTGTGATTAGGGTTTTCAGCAGGTTCATCACTTGTACTGCGTGCATTAGGGCTGTCAATGGATCCGACATCTGATCCCCCCCCCCCCAAAAAAAAATAATAAATGAATCATTGAATATTTTAGTAATCGCACCATAATTTTTAATAATAAAAAGCGAGCATGCGAAATGTTAGGTTTGATTAATCGTATCAATTTAATATTTGGTCCTTCCAACCAAACCAAATAATTCAAAACGTACATATATGGTACTTGATTTATATTTATAAATAAATAATGTAGTAAGAAAGGACATGAAATGAAAAGGATTTACATTTACTTACCTGAGTCATGTTGGGAGCAAAAACCATGGCAATATTTCTGGCATTCATTTTATTAAATTCTTCCTGCTCAACAACATCAGACATAAGATCAACTGCCCAGTTGAGAAGTGCAGTTTCTGTTGGTTTCAGATGTTTGAGAAGCTCACAACACTCGTCTTCTGTGTTACACTGCAGTACTTGTTCAGGAGAAAGCCCATCAAGAACACCACATGGTAGCTCTCTAAACCAGGCTTTAATTAAACCTGCAAGACAATGAACCTCAATGTCTTCAGGCACCATGCCTCTGTTCAGCTGATCACGTACTTCCTCTTCTTTGCTGTTTTCAGCATTTATACGAAATATTCCTTCTGCCTATTATAACCAATAAAAAAAAAAATCAATTCTCATCTTTAATCTTGACAATGAATGGTTGGTTAAAAAAACTGAATTACTATATACATACCTTTAGACCTCCTTGTGCATACAACCTTTCCTGCATCAGCAACAGAATTGTCGGGACACTGTTGCCTCTTGAATCATAACAACATTGCATTGATTCTGCTGATACACCAAACACGCTGACACTGGAAAAACAACAAGATAATCAGAAAGATCAGGCATGATAGATAAAGTCTGGAGCTCCATTAAAAGAAAAAAAGAAAACACGGATTTGAAACTAAAAGAAAAAAAGAAAACAAGGATTTGCGGTTTGTGAGGGAAGGAAACTGGGAAAGAGAAGTCTTTTTACACAATCTGTCTTTTTGTATCTTGCAAAGAAGTGATTTTTGTCAAACAAACTCGTCGTACTTCCAATCACAAAGTAATAACTTTATCCTGTTCGTTTCCCAAAATGAAAGGTGAACAGAGAAGAGGAGCGCAATTGGATAAGAATGAGCATTCTTCAAATGGGAATGTGCTGATTGCTGGATTTAAAAAGGAATTGATGCTTCTAACTTTAATCAACATTTAATGATAACTTAAATCAAACTAAATTTTTTTTGATAACTTTACAATTAAATTTGAATGTAACTGCAAAGTGCAATTAACTAAAATTATATGAAAATTTTACTGTAGAAAAGCACAATTATTGAACATTGAATACCTATTTTCATCAGTTTTTTTATTTAATCAGAGAAGGAACTTCCAGTTTCTTAAATCTAGCATTTACTGCTATTTTCAAATATTAAATTCCACATTTACCATATTCACACCTTTCTCATCATCAATCAAACTCTTAAAGCGCTAGATCCGTAACACTGTACATTTAATGAGGTTGTAAAATCCAAATTTATCAAGTTTAAACAAAAATTAAGCTATCCGATAGGAAAAAAAAAATGAAAATCTTTAGAAGGAAAAACAAAATTCTCACCTGGCACTAGGGACGCGACAGGGGATTTCAACTTCGAATTCAACAGGAAGCCCTAAAAATCCATGGAACCGATCGAAAGTAACATGAGTCAAATGTTGAACATTCGTTGGCCATCCTATTTCCATCTGATGCAGAGCTGTTGTACCCGAGCTCTGATCGTCTCCATGATCTACACGACAAGCCACCATTGATTTCCGTAGAGCTGCTACCAACAACGCTACTAACGACAACTGATTTTGTTCTTCTTCAGTAGCACCTCCTCCTTTTGTTGCTTCATTTCCATCAACACCACCGGTGCCACCGCAGCCAGCTCCTCTCGTTAGCATCACCATTCCCGTCATCCCTCTCTCTCTCTCTCTCTCTCTCTCTCTCTCTCTCTCTCTCTCTCTCTCTTGAAGCTATTGAGTGAGTATGGAGTATTGAAATGGGAGAGATTTTGAATGTATATGTTGTTTTTATTATAGGGGTTTCAAACGGCCACCCGTTTTCAAATTTTCGCTTTATCCATTGTTTTGACCAAATTGTCCTTCCTCTTCCAAGGAAATTACCAACATATCCAGTTGTATTTGATAATTTTTTTCTTTTCCGAGCAATAAATCTCTTCTCTCTTCTCTTCTCTTCTCTCTATTATAATAAAAGAATAGTTTTATTCTCCTTTGACATGGGTCACATATTAGGTCTCATAATTAATGCACATTTTATTTTTCTTTTGTCATTTGTCACTTTATTATGTCTCCTAATTAATGCATGCCACTTGTCAACCTATTGATTCTCCATTTCAAATTTTAAATTTCTCATTCTAATTATATTAAATTAATAACATTAGAATAAAAATTAAAATAAAATTAACACAAATTATAAAGTGATATAATTTTACATATTTATTTAAATCAATGATTATAATTTTATATAACTAAAAAAATCTCTTAATTAATAATTTACTTAAAATAAATGATTACTAATTTTGAGTTTTTACTATTAAAGTTTAATTAATTTTATAACCATGGTTTTCACGGGTTATAAACTAGTAAATAATAAAGTCAAGAAAGATAGTAAATTGTTGACTATTAGAAAAACACAGTTTATATTATTAGGTTAATTAATAATCCGAAAAGTTTATATATTAACTTTGTATAAAAAAAACTATTTTATAATTGAAAGTTTGGAACATTTAATTTATGTGTTTTTTGTTTTATATATATATATATATATATATATATATAGAGAGAGAGAGAGAGAGAGGATGTTATTAATAAAAGGTGTTTTTTTTGTATAAATTGAAATAATAGAGGTAACATAATATACTGTCACATATGTAATATAAAGGGATTTTCAATTAATGACTAGGCTTTTCATATGGGGAAAACTACAATAAAGTCTTTATATATTGGTCTCATAATCGATTTAGGCATTATATATTTTTTTTTATTCAATTAAGTCCCAAATACCGGTAATCGTATTCAATTTAACACTTTGACCCAGTCAATAGATCATCTAACTTTAAAAAATTATATTTTTGGCCCAGATTTCAAAATTTATTACAAATTTAGTCCAAAATTTACACTTTTGGCCTAGATTTTAAATTTTATTACAAATTTGGTCCAAAATTTACCATTTTTGTCCAAATTTTAGAATTTTATTATGAATTCATCCTAACTTTAGTTTTTTTTTTACAACTTCTTTTCTCAAAAATTTGTTTCTAATATGTTCTTTCTTTATAAACTCATATTTATACAAAAAAACATATTTTCACATAAAAATCTTATATGAAATATCTACTTATAAAAATAGGTTTGGATTATTTGTGTGATTTCTCTTAAAAAATCAATTAAGAAATTAAAAGTAACCCTAAATTATACTATTAAATTATAGTTTGTCAAAAACTAGTTACACTCATTTTAATATTATTTATTTGTTCTTTAATCACATTTATAGGACAAATAATGTCAGTTCTTAATTGTAGCTCATAGAAAAAAACATATTTCCGTAAGCTATGCTAATCATTACCTTAATATACACAAAAACATTTTTTTTTTGTTTTTTTGATTTTTAGAAAGCAATTTTTATCAAAAAAATTATTTTAAATATATCAAAATTTATAATTTTTTTTCTATAAATAGACATCCATATTGATATAGTTTTAAGATAAAATAAAAAATTATGTTTTTTAGAGTTTCAGCTCTCGTTATTCATAAGTGAATAAAAATCGATCAAATTTTTATTACAATACATTTGTTATTCATTTATGAATAAAACATATGCTTAACTTTTTTACAGTTCAAGTATCATTCATATATAAATATAACACATAATAAAACTTTTTATCTAAAATATATTTTTTTACATAATCTTTCGTCACACGTTATATTTATATATGAATAAAATGTGTATTAATGGTCGTCAAATCTTATATTCATATATAAATAAAATATTTATCAGATTTTTGTTATAGCTTATTTGTTATTCGAATATGAATAAGTAGTATGTTAATAAAAGACGTTGTGTTCTAAAAATTTTGAACAACTTATTTATATATGAATAACAAATGAACTGTAACAAAATTATGATAAATGTGTTTTTCATATATGAATATAACTTGTGAGAAGGACTAATACTTATTCATATGTGATTATAAAATGTGACGAGAGCTGATGTAAACTGTAAAGAGTTTATATATGTTATATTTATATATAAATGATATTTAAACTCTAAAAAAAAATTAATAATACTTTTTATTCATAAGTGAATAACGAATGTACTGTAGTAAAAATCTGATGCACTTTTATTCACTTATGAATAACAAGAGCTGAAACTATAAATAAATAAAAATTTTATTTTACCTTAACACTATATCAATATGGATGTCTATTTATAGAGAATAAAAAATTATGAATTTTGATGTATTTAAAATTATTTTTCGATAAAAATAGCTCCTTAAAAATTAAAAAAACGAAAAAACTATGTTTTTGTATATATTAATGTAATGATTAACATAGTTTAAGGAAACATGTTTTGTTGGAAAACACATGTATATTCATTTCCCACTTACGCCAGTACGTTGAAGACTTTTGCGGCAAAAATAAATGATTGACTGAGAATGATTCCCTCATTTTCAACTTTTTTTATTTTCTCAATTGAACTTACCTTTCTCTCTCTCTCTCTCTCTCTCTATATATATATATATATATATATATATATATATATATATATATATATATATATATATATATATATATATGACAAAACTGCAAAAATGGTCCCTATGGTATGTATTTTTTTTGGGTTTTAGTCCAAAACACGACTTTTTTGGATTGGTTGTCCTTTTGAGGTAGTTTGCTTGTGATTTTGGTCCTTCGCTAAACTGAAAAGACTAAAATACCCTTCTGATATATTTTTTATGCTTTTTTTTCTATTTAATTTAAAGTTTTATTAATAAAAAATATGGGACCCACCCTCTCTCTCTCTCTCTCTCTCTCTCTCTCTCTTTGAAAATAAGAAACAACCATCGTTGTCGTTGTGTGCTGTCTCACCGGAGTTCACTTCCGGCAACGATTGTAGACAAGATCCACACCAAGTGACTCCCCTTATTCCCGACATAAAACCCCCAAAGAGAACCACCCAAAACCTCCCCGAAAAACAGGTCCGACAGCCACGTCCAGCCACCTACCATTGTGTTCGTCACCATTGCTTTTTTCCAAGGGACAACACCACCATCACTAGATCGACCACCACCAAGGAAGAGAGTAGAAGGTAAAGAACCACCCACCGTCAACCACCAATGTTCACCATCGTCACCACCGCCCCCTAAATCATTGATCCCCTTCATCATCTCTATGAAGTGAATCCAACCACCACCCCTCATCGCTTTACTATTATCACAAGCACCACCTCCTCCAACGTTTTTACCAAAATCAGAACCATCACCATCATCACCTATACTAAAATTAAAGTCGCCGCCTCCATCATCAGTTTCAGAAATCGATTTCAGTTATAACATAGTGTTGAAATTTAAAAAAAACTGTTTCTAACATAGTGCTTCCACCAGACAAATGCAATTAAAACTTGAGCATATCAAATTAACACACCTACAATCAAATCTTGAACAAAATCAAAACTTGTTGCCTTGTAGTCGCAGGAGGAACAGGAGCCAACACACACTTACACACACAAGTGTAGAGGACTTTCACTTACTAGGGAGTTGATTTTAGTTCCGATTTCACATATGCACACACGATTTCATCGGAGCCCCTCATTTTCTCCAAGCTGTACTCAAGTTCGTTGCTTGTGAAATTAATATCTGCATGACTGATTATATGGTCAAGGATGTTAATAGGGCTTCATAGATTGTTAATCGAAACACCAAGCCCTAGATTTCTTATCACTAAGCATGAATACGAAGGGTAGGGTGGGAGATAGTGTTGGGTTTTAGTATACTACAACATCCTATGGTGCACATACAACCCTAAAAAGCTTTTGATCTATGTTTTCTCTAATTATACATGCAATGATGTTTCCAAAACTTTAAGCCTACAACTAGCATACAAATGATATAAACAACATAAAAACTAGTTAGGAGTTTACCTCTTTATGTAGCTTGTAGAGCTTGATGAACTTGATGTATTTGGCCTTTAAGAACTGTGACATCCCCATTTTCACGACCAGAAAAACCGATTTTGTTTATGCTTTGTTTAAAAATCAGAGTAACATTTTAAATAAAAGTGTTGCGGAATTTCTTCCCAAAATAAAATATGATAAAGATTTATCAAAGCATTTCCGAAAAAATGTATTTCATTAAAACCACGGGATGTCATGTTCGATACAGATCAAAAGCATAAACAGTACAATGTAAGCCTTACTACATTATTTCATATTTACAGGCCTACAATCCCGTATCTCTCATCCAAACATCTATGCTCATGCGCCACTACCTGTAATACAAGAAACTGAGTGGGTCAGGCTTGGGAGTCTGGTGAGCACATAGGGTTTTCAACCCACAATAAATAAGTTTCTTAACTTTATCAAACCAATCAAACCCGATTACTGTTAGGCGTGTCAAACCCAACAAATAATAGGGGTACAACAGACTCCAAATACACTGCTTTAATGCACTAAAAAGGTAGTACAAGGCAAGCAGGGTCGAACCACAGAGACATGGGATAAAAGTCTATACCTATTTGCGTAAGGTACTTTGGTCACAAAGGGGGGTTTGTTTGCAAAAGTCAAATAATGAAAATAACAATCAACTTTGAAATATGCAGAAAATGAAATAGATTTGTAAACAAGTTGTAAAAATGCTTCCAGTTCTAGTTCTCAATGTTGTCATTTAACCTGATTATGACTTGATGTAATTTGTTATTACTATTCTAAGTTGGTACTGAAAGATATTAACACGCTCTAATACCTCTCGCTTGCCAAATTATCTAACCAAAACACGCTCTTTGACTAGACCTAGCTTTACTAATTCAACCTAAACACGCTCTTAGATTGTATTGAAAAAACTGCATTAAGTTTTGTACAAGCTTCCCAACAATGTTCATTTCTTCTCATACGCTCGGAAGTGTGAAAACATGTGATAAATGTTCTACAATAAGAAAACCTATTGTTTGTTACCAACCATTAACTTTATAGAACGATTAGGTGCCCTAAAAGTTAATTAACTACACAAAAATTCAATTCATGAAAGTGGCCAATCAAACACAAATCAAATTTAAGGATTCTAGTTTAAACAAGAACATAATCACTAGAATAGAATCACAAATCAAACATCAAATCATATGATTCAAGTCAAGCAATCAACATGTTTTGAACAAGAACGGGAAACTAGGGTTTCTTAGCCACACATGGCTAGAACAAGATCACAAGGATAAAAGATGGAAATAATGTGCAATTACAACTTACAAATACTAGAAATAATGTTTCCAAATGATTACTGATCAATCCCTTGCAATAACCTTCGAAACCCCCTCTCAAAATGTGCTCTGATATGTTCTGTCTATCTCAAAATGGCCCTCAACACGTAATATGAAAGATAGGAAAAACTGCCAAAAGTTGGTTTTTGGGTCGAACACGGCCCGTGTTAAAATAGGCTAAACTGACACGGCCCGTGTTCAGCAGCCAACACAGCCCGTGTTGATTTGCACTAAACTGACACGGCCCGTGTTCAGCATGGTCAACAGCTCCCATTTTGGTCAACACGGCCTGTGTTGATTTTGCAGTGTAAATCCAACACGGCCCGTGTACCCCTCTGACTCTGAATCCAAACTTGATTTTTCCAACTTTTTCGTTCTTCGCTCGATCATCCTGAAATCTTCACCAATGCTTCCCGGCACCTCCCTAAGCGCGTTCTAACCTCCAGTTTACCTGAAAAGAACATGAAAGTGTGCAAATAAGGTTGTTGTAGAGACTAACGTGAATATGATGAAATGCAATAAAAATGAAGAATAACTATGCTAAATAGATGCATAAAATGGACTAAAAGGTGTGCTAAAAGGTGCACAAAATGCACCTAACAATTACCCCTTCCCGTTATCCTCACTTTACGTCCCTAAAACATCTAACACAAGGGACCTAGTCTAAGGACGTTCATCGGGGTGACAACACATGCTTCGGGGGTTCCTCATCAATTCATGTCAAATAAGGCAACCATGTGGGGGATGGAGTACTGCTGGTGAACACACAGTTCAAATAAACACCTACAGGTTGCGAGTCTGCTAATGTTCCACTGGACTATGTAGAATAGTCCGTGGTCGTCATCTATACTCCGCTAGATGACTGGATGATCAATAACATCTATAACGAGGCCTCTCATTATTTTATTTTGTCACACAACAACTATTACATCTACCCATGTTTTACCCAACACATTTTGTAGATATAAAATACATATACATTTTAAATCATTTAAAACATGTATAAAATCGTTCATCCAGCATAGATAGCAAGTATACAGATAATATGCACACGTAGCACGTAATTTATATAAAATACTTCATATCTATGTGTAAGATGAAAGTAACTATGCACTCACGTGTTAAGGTGGTGATTTCCGAACTTGGATAACACTTCGTTACTCTTAAAACAATTTCCTCCGACAAAAACCTAGTATCATTACCACAAGGGTTTAGTCTAATATTCACTGAGACTAATTAATAGTCTAGCTATTATTACTATTATATAAGCGTTAAACAATACTCTTCACCCACTATGTACAGACAGGGGACAGACATAAAACACCGGAGGGAGGACCATTTTGGCATATAGAACTTCTGAAATCCAACAACCCTATGCGGCCCTTTAAACCAGGTTCCCCGTACCACGAGTGGTTAAAAAGATATTATAACGACACTTATATAACCCATAATAATTGTAACAACCATAAAATTCGAGCCAATTTAAAACTTTTTAAATCATTTGAAACCATTCAATGTCATTACAAATTGTTTTCAAAATAGTTTAAACATCAGAGTTCCCAGAAATCATAATCATCAATCGAGGAAGTGTACGGTCACGCCTTCGCCTTTCCGCGGTCATCCGCTGAACCTGAAACAATAAACTGAAACTGTAAGCCCAGAAGCTTAGTGAGTTACCCCCAAAATACCAACGCCATACAGATATAACCATAACAACATATAAGTAAACAGAACATCCATGCATCTCGAGTCTACAATGTGACTGGTCCGCCTGCACCGGGCCTTCAGTCTACCTGGTCCACTCTCTGAGTCTACAGTATACATAATGAGCCTTCAGCCTGACTGGACCGCCTCGCAGGCCTTCAGTCCATCTGGACCGCTCTACGAGCCTTCGGCACGTCTGGACCGCCTCGTAAGGCCTTCAGCCTATCCGGACCGCTCACTGGGCCTTCGGCCTGACTATGTGCCCTCCTGGGCCTGCAGTCTATCCGGTCCGCCTTGGGTTGTAACGCCCTGTTTCGAATAAAGTCCTAATTCGAGGCTGTGGCCCGAAGAGCATTCATCATAAGGATTAGAGCCTTTAAAAAGGTAAGATTTAGGCTCATTTGGATGTAGGTAATGTAGGTATATGACCCAATAGCTCGGTTTGCACTTTGGGATCAAGGGTAAAACGGGAATGTAATATTTCAGACCTCTTTTATGAATTTTGGATTTTATTTCGGTTGGATTTCAGGATAAATAAAGTTTATAGAAGTGTGGGGCTTCTCGTTACCTTTCCGGGGATATAAGGATCGTCAAAATCGGATTTATAACGAAGAAGTTATGGCCTTCGGAAGTTTCATCGTTTTCAGGCTTAGCCGAGTACGCGGGGCGTACACAAAGCGTACACGGGGCGTACTAGTGAAGAAGGCAGTACGCTGGGCGTACCTTGGAGTACGCTGGGCGTACTGACCAGGATGGTCGCGAATGTTCTTCGGAGTACGCTGGGCGTACGCCAATCAGATCAGAACCCTATTTTAGGGTCTTGGACACTATTTAAACACCTTATCTCATAACCTAACCCTAATATCTTCAGCCTCCACCCCTCTAAACCCTAGAAATCGTCCTTAATCATCCATGGTGACATTTTGGATCTCATGGAGTCCATTTTTGGAGTATTTGGTCCATTTCCAAGAAGGTGGAGTTGATGCAACGATGGGGGATCAAGGAGAAGCTTATGGATCTGGCTTTTGTGACTCATTTTCAGCTTAATGAAGGTATAAAGCTTTGAACTTGATCATTCATCTCTTAGATCTACCATTTATGGGTTTTGGTCCCTTTTTGGTCCCAAGGATGAAGCTTTATGGTTCAAATCCGATTCTTAGGCTTAGGGTTGCCACCCTTGGTGCTATTTGAGTCCCTAAGGCAGAAAGTTTCCATCTTGGAGGTCTTAATGGGTTCATGCAAGAGTTATGGCCATTTTCATGGAAGTAGATTGCTATACTTTGAGTGTTGGGTTCATGTGGGTCATATAAGTCACCAAGTCAGTGACTTTATGGATTAAGACGTTAAGTAGAACTCAGATCTGTAATTTGGTCCCTTGGTTTGAAGCATTAAGTGCTTAATGGCAAAAAGGACTTAAAAGAGGAGTACGTTGGGCGTACAAGCTGGTACGCGCAGCGTACAAGTCACGAATCGAGTATGCGCTGCGTACAGCTGAGTACGCCCTGCGTACTCAGTCAGAATGGGTTTCGCTTGTTGGGCTTCGGTGTAGGCCAACTGTTGGGCTTGTTTATCTTGGGCCCATTGGGTCATCTGGTTGTGGGCTGTTAATGATATGGGAAAAGGCCTCAGAAGGATTTGGTCCCAATTTAGAAACGTGGGCCATGGTTTGGGCCACGAGTGTTTTTTTTAGCATTTTGGGCTTAAGTGTTTGGATTATTATTGGACCATCGAGATGCTAGGTGGGTTGGACTGAAAAGAAGGATTTGGGCCTCATGGTAAGACCCATGTAGAGGTTTGGGCCCCAATTTGGAAAATTGGGCCATTGATGGATTTATGGACATTATACTGTTGGGCTTTTGTTTGAGTTTGGGCCTTTGTTTTGGGATCATACTGGGTCAGGGGTAGAATGGTCATTTTACCCCCATGCATGGATTAAGGATTATAGTATGGGACCAATTGCTAATTGGGTATATTGATCGGTATTGATAGCTCAGCAAGTGGTCAGGGCAGCAGCTAAGGATTTCTTTCAGGAAGCTTCTGCATTCGAGGTGAGTTACCTCACTATACTAAGGGGTCTAAGGCACCAAGGCCGGCCCATTGGATATGTTATCCTAGCAGTGTTAGAAGTTGAGTATGAGTTAGTGTTGCATGCTAGTGGTTATCCAGTTAGGTAGATCTGTAGGACTACCTGTGTTGTTATATGATTATCTGCATGCTCAGTAGTTATGTTATATGTTGATATGTTATGTGGGATGGGTTGAGGATGTACTGCTTCGTGCGGTGACCAAAAAACCCTAAGAGCATTCCAGATACGAGTTGTGGGCCCGGTAGGCAATATAGACTCGTACTGTGGGCTCGATAGCATTCCAGATACGAGTTGTGGGCCCGATAGGCAATCCAGACTCGTACTGTGGGCTTGATGGCACTCCAGATGTGAGCTGTGGGCCTGGTAGGCAATCCAGACTCACACTGTGGGCCCAGGGGTATTCCAGTCTGCAAAGCTGTGGACCCAGTACCTGTTGTTATTGGTATATGTATTATATGCAGTGTATCGGTATTTTGGGGAACTCACTAAGCCTCGGGCTTACAGTTTCAGTTTATTGTTTCAAGTACATCAAGGGATCAAGGCAAGGCGAAGGCGTGATCGTACAACTCCTCTTATTTATGTTTATGTTTCTGGGATACTCTGATATTATACCTTTTGAAAACAAGTTTTTTAATAACTAATGGTTTTTGGACTGTTTAAAAAGTTTTAAATTGGCTTAAATTTTATGGGTGTTACATGGGTATGTTGGCCTTCAGCAAAAAACAGGACCGCCTCAACCCAAACCCCCAATCAAACAACCAAATGCACATATAACAAATAATCACATAACAGTCTATAGGCAACAAACCGATCTAACAGATCATATAGCATAGCAACATCCTATAACCAGGATACCGACCTAACCAGGTCACTAACATAGCATCATCCTATATACCAGGTTACCGATCTAACAGATCATAATAGCATAACATCCTATCTATCAGGATACCGATCTAACAAATCATCAATCATAACAACATCCTATAACCAGGATACCGACCTAATCAGGTCACTAACATAGAATCATCCTATATATCAGGTGTAACGCACCGATTCTCAGGTATTGATTTAAATAAGAAATTCTTTGATTCCAAGGTCTACTCGACGAGTTGGTTGCCCTACTCGTCGAGTAGTAGCGGGATGGTCCACGTATTTTAGTGACCTACTCGCCGAGTCCAAGAATGGACTCGACGAGTAGGAGCTGGCAGATGAAACCCTAAGTTTCGGGGTATTGCACCCTATTTAAAGGATAATTAGCCTCCCCCAGCCTCCCCTTTACTGCTTCTTGTCCCTCTCAAACCCTAAATCGAGTGTGTGGTTCTTTTGGTGTGTTCAAGCTTGGAGGAGGAATTTTGGAGGAGAAAACACTTTGGGAAGCAAGGAAATCAAGGCTAGGAACTCGTGGGGAGCTAAGAGATTCATCAGTTGTCACTCTCTGGAAGGTATTAAGCTGTTTCTTTGGTGCATCTCTCTTTTAACCTCTTTTGCATGAGTTTTAAGAAAAGGGTTCTTGTGCTTAAGCCAAGATCTGAAGTTGTAACTTCAGATCTGGACTCCCCTTGACCTCTAGATTCATAAAGTCATCAGCTTTGCCTAGTATGAGATTTCCCTCAAGGGTGTAACTTCATTGCAAGCTTAGCTTTGGTTTTTAAATGGTTTGAAAAAGTTTTAAATTGGCATGAAATTTTTGGGTGTTACAAGTTGGTATCAGAGCCTTGGTTTGAGTGAATTGGAAGAACACTCGTGTGACTCTAGTCTCAAATCAAGGAAAAGATTTTCAAAATGATTTTCAAATGGTTTTCAAAATAAGTAAAGGAGGATGCAGGGTGTACGATCAGCCGGAGCCAATAAGTGACCCCAAAATACCATACAGTTATTTGATATTGTGATATGTTAGAACTGCATGCTAGTGCTAGGCTAGGGATCTTCAGGAATTGCATAATAGAATTGCCTGATTACATGATGCCTGGTAGCCTAGGGTTTTCCTTATATGAAATTGACATCATTACTGTAGTTACTTGTGTATGCATCACAATTGTATATGATTAAGATCTTATAGCCTGAGAATGTTTGATCTGGCCTTATGTTCAATTCTTATTAGGGCTTAGGGTAGGATTGGATATTCGAAAGTCTATAGGTTCCATCGTTATGTATGGCTAGCATACACTAGTGCTGCAGGAGTTGGTGGAAGTTTCATGAATGGGTGGGTAGTGAGGGGCCGGGAGGCCAATTATGAGATATTTAGCATTCCTCTAGGAGTGAGGATTGAGCGCTCGCCATGTTGTGTATATTGTAGGGTGTGTGGTGATACTTGAGACAAATATAGGTAGGTGTGGAAGGTAGTATGGGCCCGTACTACTGAAAGCACATGACCCATACGCGTATCAAGGAAGTCACAACCCCTAGGGTTAGTCGGGAGTTAGTTTCCAGTTATTTATGTGGATTATCTGATATCTTGTGGTATGTTTCAGAATGGTGATGATGAGATGCTTCGTGACTGGATCCGGTTCAGGATCAGGATTAGGAGACGGAGGCCAGGAGGGGCCAACAACACCTGAGCCCGTGGTGCAGATGGGTACAGAGGAGTTGGACGCCAGGATTCGGGAGATCCTGCATGATGAGGTTGCTTCTGCGTTCCGAGCACAGCTGCCAGAGATGTTTGGGTCTATTAAGACCGCCATGGTCGAGTACTTCGACGAGCGATACGCAGCCCTTGCGGAAACGGCTGCCGCTGCAGTTGCATCAGCTGTAACAGCGGAGGGGGGGAGGAGGAGGAGCCAATCGGGGCTTCCAGTACAAGGACTTCGATAAAACGAAGCCCCGTACTTTTGATGGGACAGAGGACCCCATCAAGGCGATGAGGTGGATTTCAGATGTGGAGGGGTGTTTCTTTACCTGCTCGTGTCCTACTGACCAAAGGGTCAGGTGTGCTCTGAATCTGCTAAGGTCCGGGGCCAAGGACTGGTGGAGATTGACGACTAGGTCGTACACTGATGATCAGAGAGCTGCTGTTACTTGGGAGCAGTTCAGGGATATGTTTCGCGCCCGATACATTCCACGAGTCGAGCGGGAACGGCTGTCGCAGGAGTTTTTGAGTTTGAAAGAGGAGGGGGAGTCGGTGACGGAGATCACCCGCATGTTCACAGAGAGGGCGATGTTCTGCCCGGAGTTTGCTTCTGAGCAGGCCCAGATGACCCGTTATCTGAGCATGCTCAAGACTGACATCCGCCAGTTTGTGTCTACCCAGCGATGTGATACTCTTTTGGAGTTGCAAGAGGCCGCTAGGCGGCGTGAGTTGGAGATTGAGCTGCAGATGAGAGACCAGCGGCAGGCCCCGACGTAGTCGCAGTCGGCGCCTAAGCGGTCTAAGACCACTGATGCAAGGATCGGGGGCCAGCAGAGCCGCACTTGTGGAAAGTGTGGCAAGAGTCATCCCGGGGTTTGTCGGACGGGTAGTGGGTGCCACAAGTGTGGCAAGGAGGGACACTATGCTAGGGATTGTCGCCAAATAGCCCCTGCATCGGATATGAGGTTATGCTATCATTGTCATCAGGTTGGTCACGTGAAGACCAATTGTCCACAGCTCGCAGTCAGGCCGGCGCAGACTCCAGCGCCGGCTACATTGAGGATACCGGATGGGAGGCTAGTCAAGGCAGAGCCTCCGAAGGCTCAGGGGCGTGCTTTCCAGTTGACCGCAGAGGAGGCCAGGGAAGCACCAGATGTGATTGCTGGTATTTTTCTCTCCTTTATTTCATTTATTATAATTGTATTATGCTTATCTGTGTACCTGTGATTAGGTATGTTTTTAGTGAACTCTTTGCCTGCTTTGGTTTTATTTGACTCGAGGGTGAGTCGGTCCTTCGTATCGCAGTCATTTAGTAGGGAGTTCAGTGTGTCAGTGGGCGAGTTAGAGTGTCCGTTGCGAGTCTCTATCGCCAACGAACACAGGGTTTCTGCTTCTTCGGTTTATCGAGGGTGTGAGTTGGAGATTTTCGGGGTGTCTTTTCCGATATATTTGATTCTGATCCCCATGGGGGAGGTGTGTGTGATTGTAGGCATCGATTGGCTCAGTCGGTTTGGTGCTATGATTGATTGTGAGGGCCAGTGAGTGGTAGTTCGAATCCCAAGTGGGGGAGAACTGGTTGTATATGGTGAGGGCACCAGAGTGGGATCAAGGTTTTGTTCAGCCGCCAGGGTTCGACAGTGTATTCAGCACGGGTGTGCGGGATATCTAGCATATGTGGTGGATACACGGATCAAGGATCAGATTTCAGTTTCAGAGGTTCCAGTGGTTAGGGAGTTTGCCGACGTGTTCCCGGAGGAGTTGCCAGGGATACCTTCGGCGAGGCAGGTCGAGTTCCGGATCGACTTGGTACCAGGTGCGGCTCCTATCGCCAAGGCGTCGTACCGACTGGCGCCACCCGAGATGCAGGAGCTGTCTTCACAGCTGCAGGAACTGATGGGCAAGCAGTTCATTCGACCTAGCAGTTCTCCATGGGGAGCACCGATCCTTTTCGTCAGGAAAAAAGACGGTTCGCACCGGATGTGCATTGATTATAGGGAGCTGAACAAGTTGACGGTGAAGAACCGTTATCCACTCCCGAGGATAGATGATCATTTCGATCAGTTGCAGGGTGCATCTTGGTTCTCCAAGATTGATTTGAGGTCGGGGTATCATCAGGTCCGGGTCAGAGAGGAGGACGTGGAGAAGACCGCGTTCCGAACGCATTATGGACATTACGAGTTCGTGGTGATGCCGTTTGGGCAAACCAACGCACCAGCAGTATTCATGGACCTGATGAATCGGGTCTGCAGACCGATGCTTGATCAATCGGTCATTGTGTTTATCGACGATATCTTGGTGTATTCTAAGACCCGAGAGCAGCACGAGGAGCATCTCAAGGAGTTATTGGGAGTTCTGAGACGAGAGCGGCTATACACCAAGTTCTCGAAGTGTGAGTTTTGGTTACGAGAGGTCCAGTTCCTTGGACACCTCGTTAACCAGGAGGGAATTTTGGTCGACCCGGCCAAAATCGAAGCAGTTATGCAGTGGGAGGTTCCGAAATCTCCCTCGGACATCAGGAGCTTTTTAGGATTAGCGGGATACTACCGGAGATTCATTCAGGATTTCTCCAAGATTTCAGTACCTCTCACTCGTCTGACGAGGAAGGGGGTGGATTTCCGGTAGGGCCCTGAGCAACAGAGGGCGTTCAAGACCCTCCGACAGCGGTTGTGTGAGGCTCCAGTTTTGACACTCTCGGAAGGGGTTGATGACTTCGTGGTGTTTTGTGATGCCTCCATCACAGGTTTAGGGGCAGTCCTTATGCAGAGAGGTCGGGTGATAGCTTACGCGTCGCGGCAGCTGAAGCCGCATGAGACGAGATATCCTACTCATGATCTGGAGCTGGGAGCGGTGGTGTTCGCTCTCAAGTTATGGAGACATTACTTATATGGGGTTCGTTGTACCATATATACGGATCACAAGAGATTGAGACATATCATGGATCAGCCGAACATGAACATGAGGCAGCGCAGGTGGCTGGATGTAGTCAAGGACTACGATTGCGAGATCCTTTACCACCCTGGTAAAGCGAATGTGGTGGTGGATGCTTTGAGCCGCAAGTCAGATGGGTCTTCCATCCCAGCGGTATGTATGAGGATATTGGTGGATTCTCTGCTTGTGAGTGTGATCAGAGATGCTCAGGTTGAGGGCATGCGACCGGAGAACTGGAAGTTGGAGAGGATCAAGGGTGAGAACACCCGTTTTGTGCAGGATAGCCGAGGATTATTGACCCGATGCGGTCGGGTCTAGGTTCTGATGTCTGGTGGGGTCAGGCAGACGGTCATGGAGGAGGCTCATAAGTCTCATTTTTCTATTCACCCGGGGGCCACCAAGATGTACAGGGATTTGAGTTTGAGCTACTGGTGGTCGTGCATGAAGCCAGAAATCGCTTGGTACATCGAGAGATGCTTGACCTGTAAGATGGTCAAGGTCGAGCATCAGAGGCCGCATGGCAAGCTGAAGCCCTGGATATTCCCATGTGGAAATGGGAACAGATTACGATGGATTTTATTACCAAGCTGCCGAGAACGGCGAAGGGGTTTGATGCTATATGGGTCATCGTGGATCGATTGACCAAGAGTGCCCATTTCTTGGCCATACGGGAGAGTTCGTCGGCCGAGATATTGGCCGACATATATGTTCGCGAGATCGTTTCTCGCCATGGGGTTCCGGTCTCCATTGTCTCCAACCGGGATGTTAGATTTACCTCCTGCTTCTGGCAGAAGTTCCACGAGGAACTGGGCACGTGGTTGCACATCAGCACAACATTTCACCCCAGTTAGACGGCCAGAGCGAGCGGACCATTCAGACCCTCGAGGATATGTTGAGGGCATGTGTCATTGATTTCGGTGGGAGCTGGGATTCCCACTTACCGCTTGCGGAGTTCGCCTTTCGAGCTATTGTACGGGCGGAGATGTCGCACCCTGGTTTGTTGGGGTGAGGTCGGACACAAGGTGATGGGTCTGACGGAGGTGGTCTTGCAGACTACTGAGAAGATTCAGCAGGTTAGGCAGCGGCTGCAGACCGCTCAGAGTCGGCAGAAGAGTTACGCCGACCGGCGCCGATCCGAGTTAGAGTTTCAGGTCGGTGATATGGTACTCCTGAAGGTCTCGCCCTAGAAGGGTGTGACCCGCTTCAGGAAGAGGGGAAAATTGGGTCCCCGATATATTGGGCCATTCAGGATCATTGCCAGGATTGGCAAGGTGGCATACAGATTAGAGTTTCTGGAGGAGTTTATTCGGATTCACAACACCTTCCATGTTTCGCAATTGCAAAAGTGCATTATGGATCAAGAGGCAGTGGTGTCACTAGATGATATTCAGGTCGATGAACGCTTGAATTATGTGGAGAGGCCTGTGGCCATATTGGAGAGGAAGACGAAAGTTCTGAGGAACAAGGAGATAGCTTTGGTGAAGGTACAGTGGGAGCATCGTAGGGGGTCTGAGTGGACGTGGGAGCCAGAGGCAGAAATGTTGGAGCACTATCCGGGACTGTTCGCCGCAGCAGACTTCGAGGACGAAGTCTAGTTCAAGTGGGGGAGAATTGTAACGCACCGATTCTTAGGTATTGATTTAAATAAGAAATTCTTTGATTCCAAGGTCTACTCGACGAGTTGGTTGCCCTACTCGTTGAGTAGTAGCGGGATGGTCCACGTATTTTAGTGACCTACTCGCCGAGTCCAAGAATGGACTCGACGAGTAGGAGCTGGCAGATAAAACCCTAAGTTTCGGGGTATTGCACCCTATTTAAAGGATAATTGGCCTCCCCCAGCCTCCCCTTTACTGCTTCTTGTCCCTCTCAAACCCTAAATCGAGTGTGTGTGTTCTTTTGGTGTGTTCAAGCTTGGAGGAGGAATTTTGGAGGAGAAAACACTTTGGGAAGCAAGGAAATCAAGGCTAGGAACTCGTGGGGAGCTAAGAGATTCATCAGTTGTCACTCTCTGGAAGGTATTAAGCTGTTTCTTTGGTGCATCTCTCTTTTAACCTCTTTTGCATGAGTTTTAAGAAAAGGGTTCTTGTGCTTAAGCCAAGATCTGAAGTTGTAACTTCAAATCTGGACTCCCCTTGACCTCTAGATTCATAAAGTCATCAGCTTTGCCTAGTATGAGATTTCCCTCAAGGGTGTAACTTCATTGCAAGCTTAGCTTTGGTTTTTAAATGTTTTGAAAAAGTTTTAAATTGGCATGAAATTTTTGGGTGTTACAAGTTGGTATCAGAGCCTTGGTTTGAGTGAATTGGAAGAACACTCGTGTGACTCTAGTCTCAAATCAAGGAAAAGATTTTCAAAATGATTTTCAAATGGTTTTCAAAATAAGTAAAGGAGGATGCAGGGTGTACGATCAGCCGGAGCCAATAAGTGACCCCAAAATACCATACAGTTATTTGATATTGTGATATGTTAGAACTGCATGCTAGTGCTAGGCTAGGGATCTTCAGGAATTGCATAATAGAATTGCCTGATTACATGATGCCTGGTAGCCTAGGGTTTTCCTTATATGAAATTGACATCATTACTGTAGTTACTTGTGTATGCATCACAATTGTATATGATTAAGATCTTATAGCCTGAGAATGTTTGATCTGGCCTTATGTTCAATTCTTATTAGGGCTTAGGGTAGGATTGGATATTCGAAAGTCTATAGGTTCCATCGTTATGTATGGCTAGCATACACTAGTGCTGCAGGAGTTGGTGGAAGTTTCATGAATGGGTGGGTAGTGAGGGGCCGGGAGGCCAATTATGAGATATTTAGCATTCCTCTAGGAGTGAGGATTGAGCGCTCACCATGTTGTGTATATTGTAGGGTGTGTGGTGATACTTGAGACAAATATGGGTAGGTGTGGAAGGTAGTATGGGCCCGTACTACTGAAAGCACATGACCCATACGCGTATCAAGGAAGTCACAACCCCTAGGGTTAGTCGGGAGTTAGTTTCCAGTTATTTATGTGGATTATCTGATATCTTGTGGTATGTTTCAGAATGGTGATGATGAGATGCTTCGTGACTGGATCCGGTTCAGGATCAGGATTAGGAGACGGAGGCCAGGAGGGGACAACAACACCTGAGCCCGTGGTGCAGATGGGTACAGAGGAGTTGGACGCCAGGATTCGGGAGATCCTGCATGATGAGGTTGCTTCTGCGTTCCGAGCACAGCTGCCAGAGATGTTTGGGTCTATTAAGACCGCCATGGTCGAGTACTTCGACGAGCGATACGCAGCCCTTGCGGAAACGGCTGCCGCTGCAGTTGCATCAGCTGTAACAGCGGCGGGGGGGAGGAGGAGGAGCCAATCGGGGGTTCCAGTACAAGGACTTCGATAACACGAAGCCCCGTACTTTTGATGGGACAGAGGACCCCATCAAGGCGATGAGGTGGATTTCAGATGTGGAGGGGTGTTTCTTTACCTGCTCGTGTCCTACTGACCAAAGGGTCAGGTGTGCTCTGAATCTGCTAAGGTCCGGGGCCAAGGACTGGTGGAGATTGACGACTGGGTCGTACACTGATGATCAGTTGTCACTCTCTGGAAGGTATTAAGTTGTTTCTTTGGCTCATCTCTCTTTTGACCTCTTTTGCATGAGTTTTAAGAAAAGGGTTCTTGTGCTTAAGCCAAGATCTGAAGTTGTAACTTCAGATCTGGACTCCCTTTGACCTCTAGATTCATAAAGTCATCAGCTTTTCCTAGTATGAGCTTTCCCTCAAGGGTGTAACTTCATTGCAAGCTTAGTTTTATTATTTTAGGGTCTTAAAAGCTTTGCATGCACGTAAAGTCTGCAACTTTACGTGATAAGCATGCCTAAGGAAGTTGGATCTGCAATTTGGAGCCTATGCATTGCTTAAAAAGTGTCTGTATGGTTGAAGGACTGAAGGGACTCGGCGAGTCGCATGGTCGACTCGGCGAGTCATATGAAGATGGGCATGGACCCGACAAGTTGGATGAACAACTCGGCGAGCCCGATGAAGATTGTCGTAGACTCGACGAGTTGGATGAACAACTCGGCGAGTCAGTTAGGGTTTCCCAATTAAGGGATGCGTGTGGACTTGTCGAGTGCAAGAAGGAAACCCGACGAGTAGCCGTGGAGCTTCGACCACGAGCCTTAGGAACTCAACGAGTCACTCTGGCGACTCGGCGAGCGGACAAGTATTGCAAAAAAGTCGGCGAGTAGCTGAGAATACTCGACGAGTTGAGGTCAACATGGACTGTTGACCTTGACAGTTGACTTTGACTTTGACCAAGGGTTGACCAGTTGACTTCTAGGGTATTCAGGAATTTATAAACCTTATGATGTGTTGAGTATAAGTGGTGGGGTGCGTGGCGGTGATTCGAGAGTGGAGCTTTTTATTTCCAGTCGGAAGTCGCAAGGTGA